ATTTTTTTTTTTTTGAGATGGAGTCTCGCTCTGTCACCCAGGCTGGAGTGCAGTAGCGTGATCTCAGCTCACTGTAACCTCCGCCTCCTGGGTTCAAGCGATTCTCCTGCCTCAGCCTCCTGAGTAGCTGGGATTACAGGCACACCCCACCACGCCTGGCTAATTTTTGTATTTTTAGTAGAGACAGGGTTTCACCATGTTGGTCAGGCTGGTCTCAAACTCCTGACCTCGTGATCCACCCACCTTGGCCTCCCAAAGTGCTGGGATTACAGGCGTGAGCCACCGCACCCAGCCTTAGTTCAAATATTTTTTAGACAAATGTAAAATACATCTATAACTCAAAGGATAAATGCTTGAGGGAATGGATATCCCATTCTCCATGATGTGCTTATTTCACATTGCATGCCTGTATCAAAACATCTCATGCACCCTATAAATATATACACCTACATGTACCCACAACAATATTTAAAAATGTAAAAATAATTTTTGCTTATACTAAAGCATAAATTGAAAGAGCAAAGAAAACTGGAAAGCTCATTTGTATTTACTGTAAATGTATCAATTCAGTAAAATCTCTATGGACATGTAAGTAAAATATACGAATGCCAATAGCAAATGGGTTAAAATTCTCTTTCTTTAAAAGAGAAATAAATTGCAGATTCTACTAATAAGGAATTGCTAATCTAAAAAAAAATCTACAAGCGCCAGGCACGGTGGCTCACACCTGTAATCTCAGCACTTTGGGAGGCCGAGGCAGGTGACTCACCTGAGGTTGGGAGTTCCAGACCAGCCTGATCAACATGGAGAAACCCTGTCTCTACTAAAAATACAATATTAGCTGGGCATGGTGGCACATGCCTATAATCCCGGCTATTCGGGAAGCTGAGGCAGGAGAAATGCTTGAACCTGGGAGGCAGAGGTTGCGGTGAGCTGATATCACGCCACTGAACTCCAGCCTGGGCAACAAGAGCGAAACTCTGTCTCAAAAAAAAAAAAAAAAAAAAAAAAAATCTACAAGCTAGAAGAAAATATAATGTATTAGAATATCAATGCCTTTCCCCACAGGCCTCATATTTATTTTTGGTAAACTAAACAGAGATAAAAGTAATCTATGTTACAATTTGAGATAGTGATTTCTGTTGAGAAGCCACAAAAATGTTCATAGGGGGCCGGGCGCGGTGGCTCAAGCCTGTAATCCCAGCACTTTGGGAGGCCGAGACGGGCGGATCACGAGGTCAGGAGTTCGAGACCATCCTGGCTAACACGGTGAAACCCCGTCTCTACTAAAAAATACAAAAAACTAGCCGGGCGAGGTGGTGGGCGCCTGTAGTCCCGGCTACTCGGGAGGCTGAGGCAGGAGAATGGCGTAAAAACCCGGGAGGCGGAGCTTGCAGTGAGCTGAGATCCGGACACTGCACTCCACCCTGGGCGACATAGCGAGACTCCGTCTCAAAAAAAAAAAAAAAAAAAAAAAAGTTCATAAGGATTTTCTAAGAACTTTTTTTTTTGCATCCAGAATTAATAAATACAGTGTATCATCATTTTAAAGACATGTTTAGGGAAAAGACCAGCTTCCCTTCCCCTGAAAGTTATTGGTAGTGGGAGGGCAAGAGAGGAAGAGATGACAGCTTTTTAAGTCAAATTTTCATCTCATCTATCTTTTGTTCATTTTGAGTCCCCAAATAAAACATTTCTGTACTTTAATTTCTTAATCACTACTGTCAGTTTGGTTGCTACACATTTAATTACAACATAAAGTTGACACTGAGGATGAAGAAACTTGAGTAATTATGCTTTTTCTTATTTCTAGTTAACCAATAAGATTTTAATAGCAAATTAGAACAAGATTTTACCTCCTTAATAACTAATGGTTAGATAAAGTAGAATTTGTATCAAGTAACTCAGACTTCAGATTTCTGGATGTACCAGTTACTATGCTACTGAGGAGATACATCTAGATGATGAAGTTAAAATATTAATTATGACTCCAGTCATATGAAACCAAATTATTATGAGAAATTATCTTATTTCGCCAGGCACAGTGGCTCACATCTGTAATCTCAGCACTTGGGGAGGACGAGGCGGGCGGATCACAAAGTCAGGAGTTCAAAATCAGCCTGACCAACATGGTGAAACCCCATCTCTACTAAAAATACAAAATTTAGCCAGGTGTGGTGGCATGCACCTATAATCCCAGCTACTTGGGAGGCTGAGGCAGGAAAATTGCTTGAACCGGGAGGCAGAGGTTGCAGTAAGCTAAGATCTCGCCACTGCACTCCAGCTCGGGTGACAGAGGGAGACTCTATTTCAAAAAAAAAAAAAGAAATTATCTTATTTCAGTGTAGTAAAAAAAATAATTTTTCTTTAACATTCTTCATAAAATGTGATTGAGGCTATCAAACATCATAAAGCTTGGATGAGGGTGCAGATAATTTTACAAAAAAAGTTGTATTTTGGCAAATATTTTATTATTATAAATGAAAATAAGAGTTTTAAAATGGCACTTAATCTGTTCTCTCTCTCAGAGTCTGCCAAATAAATCAGATTTCTTGGAAAAAATTCGAAGTTGATAAAATGGAGGCAAAATTAACTCTTGTCAGATAAGTCATTTGCCATAAATTGAAAGGACCCCTGACCGCATTAAGCAGAGGGACTGACGGTCAGTGGAGCTTCTCTGTTTGCAATTTATTCAGCAAAAGCGAACAATTGTTTACAAGTCTCTAACACAAAATTTAGTTCAAATATCAAAGGTCTGATCCATTTTCAAAGGCATTAGTTCTATTTTTAATAAGTTGAACTGGCCTTAGATGAAAGATATAGTTCTCTTCACATAGTTTACACATTATTTACAGAGAAATGAAAAATCCTGCTGCCTTTGTTATCACTTGTCATTTGGGAATTTCTTAGATAAAATAAAAGAACATGGAAAGATAATTTGACCTCTGACTTCCAGGAGAATGATCAGGCCACATCTAAAATTTACCAAAGAATGAGGAAAAAATTTTTTTCAAGTTGGAAGGTACCAGAGTGATTAGCTGGTCTAACCTACTCATTTTGCAGATGAGAAAACTGAGATACAGTCATCTTGAGCTGCAGCAAATTACTCAACTCTTCCTTGTATTGTAATTAAACTGAGACTAACACCAAGTCTCTTGCTGTTGTTGCCAATTCTTTTCTCTGAACTGCACTTTGTACATCCTCCACCAAGCTTAAGAGTCATTACCTAAGGGGCAAGGGGTGGGAATCAGGAAGAAAAAACGATAATGGGTGGGGGTGGGGGAATGTGGGATAATGTTAGGAATGTTGTATTCAACAATGAGCCATATGTATTAATAATTTCCTAAGAAAAATAATTAAAAAAAAAAAATCAAACCTTAACATCAGCAGAACCAAATTTCAAAGATCAGAAATACCAAAGTGAAACTGAATGTTAGTATTGAAATTTAAGCTACATTTTCAAAAAAAAGGTCAGCAAACCAATGAAAACTAGATTTCAGTTTCTGTCTCCTTTTAGTGACTAGTTCTATATATTATGTTTCTCTATACCTGGAAAAATGTTCTTAATATAATACACATGCAGTCTGAAGTAATTTCAGTTATCAAGTTTATGAAAGAATTGGGTTTTAAAAAATACTACAAAAATATGCACTTATATTTATTCCAAAATTATATATTTCTAACCTCTGCAGTGATATAAGGTCCAAATTTTCACTGTTTTTTTTTTTTTGTTTTGTTTTTTTGTTTTTTTTTTTTGAGACGGAGTCTCACGCTGTTGCCCAGGCTGGAGTGCAGTGGCGCGATCTCGGCTCACTGCAAGCTCCACCTCCCGGGTTCCCGCCATTCTCCTGCCTCAGCCTCCTGAGTAGCTGGGACTACAGGCGCCCGCCACCGCGCCCGGCTAATTTTTTGTATTTTTAGTAGAGACGGGGTTTCACTGTGGTCTTGATCTCCTGACCTTGTGATCCGCCCGCCTCGGCCTCCCAAAGTGCTGGGATTACAGGCTTGAGCCACCGCGCCCGGCCTAATTTTCACTGTTAAACCACCTTCTTGCATGGTGTTAAACAGTTATTTCTGTAGAACAGATATCATTTGCATAAATCTTTTTTTTTTTTTTTGAGATGGAGTCTCACTCTGTCGCCCAGGCTGGAGTGCAGTGGCGTGATCTCGGCTCACTGCAAGCTCCACCTCCCGGGTTCACGCCATTCTCCTGCCTCAGCCTCTCAAGTAGCTGGGACTGCAGGCGCCCTCCACCACGCCTGGCTAATTTTTGGTATTTTTAGTAGAGAGGGGTTGACCTCGTGATCCGCTTGCCTCGGTCTCCCAAAGTGCTGGGATTACAGGCGTGAGCCATCGCGCCTGGCCAATTTGCATAATTGTTTATAGTAAAACTCATTCAGAAATAGTAACTACTTTTATCTACCATCAGAGCTGAAAGAAACAGATTTCAGTAAAAAAAAGTATAGCGGTGGGTCAAGGCATTTTTTTTTAGAAAAATATACTGTATATAGTATATATATCTCGGAAACTACACAGCCAGGTTTTATTTAATGTGAAGGCACAACTTTAACATTAAAAGCAAAGCGTTATAGTTATTTATGATGTAACTGTCAGTACCAGCTCATAAAAATATATATTTGCGGCCGGGCGCGGTGGCTCAAGCCTGTAATCCCAGCACTTTGGGAGGCCGAGACGGGCGGATCACGAGGTCAGGAGATCGAGACCATCCTGGCTAACACGGTGAAACCCCGTCTCTACTAAAAAAAAAATACAAAAAACTAGCCGGGCGAGGTGGCGGGCGCCTGTAGTCCCAGCTACTCGGGAGGCTGAGGCAGGAGAATGGTCTAAACCCGGGAGGCGGAGCTTGCAGTGAGCTGAGATCCGGCCACTGCACCCCAGCCTGGGCAACAGAGCAAGACTCTGTCTCAAAAAAAAAAAAAAAAAAAAATATATATATATATATATATATTTGCAAGCATATCACTGACGACTCTTTCAGATTGTCAATTCAAAAGTCAATTTAAAAAGTCCAAGTCTATTTGTAGAAAATCAATGACACATTATAGCAGCTCCACATATTATTGCTGGACAATCTGTTCACCAGTCAATGCAGGGTTTTCTTCATTTGCTGCATAATCCAGATGGTCCATCGTCTAGGCATAAATAAAAGACATTAGGAAATGCAAAATTTCAACTTGCCCCCAATATTCACTACATTAGCAAAAGGATTCTGAGTTTTTCTAAAAAACACAGATTGCTCTATGAAACTGATCACTCCTTCAGGAGCACTGTTCTGGTTCAACATCCACACTTCTAAGGAGATAGGGTGACACTGAACCTCTAAGGAAGTCTAATCACGTGACTCAGAGCCCATTTGTGTTCTCCAGATCTTCCATTATCTCCATTTCCAAATATGAATACTGCCCTTCATGGCAGTGAGAACTCCAGAACAAAAGGAAGATATTCCTGACACTTATTCCAGGACAATATTCCAGGCAGTGTCCAATCATATAAGTGGGAAAACTAAAAATGGCCTCATGAGTCACTGTGATAATACCTGCTGGCTCCCGGACACTGTGATATTATTGACACCTTGAAATAACCGTAAGATAATTCAAACTTTGGAAACATTATAATAATTTCTACAAAAAATGAACTTGAGGTCAAATGATATTTGAAAACAAAACCAAGAATACATTTGCTAGGCTGGGCGTGGCGGCTCACGCTTGTAATCCCAGCACTTTGAGAGGCTGAGATGGGCAGATCACAAGGTCAGGAGTTCAAGACCAGCCTGGCCAAGATGGTGAAACCCTGTCTCTAATAAAAATACAAAAATTAGCCGGGCGTGGTGGCAGGCGCCTGTAGTTCCAGCTACTTGGGAGGCTGAGGCAGGAGAATTGCTTGAACCCAGGAGGCGGAGGTTGCAGTGAGCCAAGATCGCGCCACTGCGCTCTAACCTGGGCAACAGAGTGAGACTCTGTTAAAAAAAAAAAAAAAATTTGCTATAGACTATTTTAAAGAAATTACTGGCCGGTCACAGTGGCTCACGCCTGTAATTCCAGCACTTTGGGAGGCCAAGGCGGGTGGAGCACAAGATCAGGAGATCGAGACCATCCTGGCTAACACAGTGAAACCCTGTCTCTACTAAAAAATAATAAAAAAAAAAAATTAGCTGGGCGTGGTGGCAGGCGCCTGGAGTCCCAGCTACTCAGGAGGCTGAGGCAGGAGAATGGTGTGAACCCGGGAGGCAGAGCTTGCAGTGAGCCGAGATTGCACTACTGCACTGCACCCTGGGTGACACAGTGAGACTCCGTCCTCACCCCCCAAAAACAGAAATTACCAGTTAAACTTTTCTCAAATGGTCACTTCAGCTCTGCCTATATTCTCATAAAAAATTGTCTTATATTTGGAAATGAAGGATGAAGAAACTGTTTAAATGCTTTCAGTGTTTCAGCAATTCAGATACAATTACTAAAAACAGAAAAAAGTAATGCCTTTGTGAAGACTGTTAAGGACTTTTAGACTAGTGATTAAATTTTGGTATAGAGATGCACTTTTTTCCTTTCCTTCATCAAGAATTAGAAGAAGGAAAGATCAGCAAGATAAATGTTCCTATTTTTGAAAAGTGGTTCTGAAGGCTTTAGTGTTTTTTGGAAGAAGAACAAGAGGGTGGAATCATCTCCAAATAGGGTCTCTTGACTTGCCAGGCAGAAAGAATACAACATGAGCTGAGGCTTTTGGCTGACAACTGTCTCAACTAATGGTGACAGTTTACAAAATCAAAACCTAGGCTGGACGCGGTGGCTCACACCTGTAATCCCAGCACTTTGGGAGGTCAAGGCAGGTGGATCACGAGGTCAGGAGTTCGGGACCAGCCTGGCCAACATGGTAAAAACCTGTTTCTACTACAAATACAAAACTTAGCCGGGTGTGGTGGTGTGCCCGTAATCCCAATCCTACTTGAGAGGCTGAGGTGGGAGAATTGCTTGAACCTGGGAGGCGGAGGCTTTGGTGAGCCAAGATCGTGCCACTGCACTCCAGCCTAGGCAATAGAGCAAGACTCCGTCTCAAAAATAAAATAAAATAAATCAAAAACCTGCTGATACTCTACAAGCCATTTCAAGACCCAAAACCATTTTGAGGTCTTCTAATTGCCAAAGGTATCTCCTAGATTTAAGGTCACTAGTTTGCAGCAATTCTAGGGGAAAAAACAAAAGCCAAATCAAGACAGATAACATTTATTAAGCAGTTCACTACATGAAATGTAAGATGAAGATGTTGAACAGTTAATTTTAGTCAATTTAAATGAAGGGGGGAAAGGAAAAGTATGTAAGATATATTTAGGCCCCTTTTCTTCTAGGAATTTAAAAGTTCTGGGTCTAAGAGGTTAGGGCTGTGTAGAGAGAAAATTGAAGCAGCCTCAGCAGAATAGATGGTGGAGAAAGCCTCTTTCTTCCCCAGGATCTGCTTACCCTGGCAACTGTAATCTAATGAAACGATAGCCCACATACCCTAAATTATAACATGCTTCCCTGGTGCCTTGTTAGCACAGTAGGTAGTGAGTCAGTCTCATCTAACTTGCCTCTTCTTTCCTAATCCCCAGGTACCTCACTGGCAATATATAATCTAATCCCTGAACACAGAAATATATTAATTTAAAAAACCACTTTCAAAGTCAACTTATTGAGAAGTAAGCATCTCTATTCCCTATTTACTGACTTTCCAATAAAAACAATACAGAAACATAAAGAACAAAGTTTTAAAAAATACAACAATAAATTAACATAAATAATACAATGAATTGACAAAATTGGCAAACATTTTCATCATATTTGGAAACAGGAAAGCTTGATTTGGAAAGATGGCCTCTGAAATCAGGTCAGCTAAGGTGGCATTTTCTGATAGCTCTGCTTGCTTATAATTGAACCAATCTCCAGAAATAGTCTAATAAAACACTCACTAAAGCAGGGTAACTGGAGACTTGCTGATACTAAAGCAGAGTTGTTCTAAGTTATCTCTGTATTCTGACTTGTCAGTTACAGCTTGTGACTTCTAAAAATAATGAGAAGTACTAGTGACATTTAACAGACACAACTCACTGTTTACTGGGTATTGACAAACCGAAAACTTACTACCTGCCCAGAGTAAAATAGCCCATTGGACATTGCTGCACATATTTAACTCCACTTATTTCATTATAGAAGCAAAAAATATCCCCTAAAATGATGACTCTTCTTCATTGTGCTATATGCCAAAGTAATCATGACTCTGCTTGATTTTTCTCTGCTGAGAAAAAAGTATCTTTATTTGCTTTATATTAATTAGAACTAAGACTTCACATAAAATCAAATAAGGAGGTCTGAGTACTGTAGTTCTTGAAGCATTCCACAAGAAAAGTTCATAGGAAATATACTGTAACTACTTTTGGGCTGTAGAAAATAATTTAAAATTAGTAATTAGTATTTCCAAATTAGTTATTTTTTTTTTCTTTTTTTTTGAGATGGAGATTCGCTCTTGTTGCCCAGGCTGGAGTGCAATGGCACGATCTCGGCTCACTGCAACCTCCGCCTCCCGGGTTCAAGCAATTCTCCTGCCTCAGCCTCCCTAGTAGCTGGGATTACAGGCACGTACCACCACGCCGGATAATTTTTTGTATTTTCAGTAGGGATGGGATTTCACTATGTTGGCCAGGCTGGTCTTGAACTCCTGACTTTAAGCGATCCACCTGCCTCAGCCTCCCAAAGGGCTGGGATTACAGGCATGAGCCACCGCGCCCAGCCCAAAATAGTATTATTTCAGTGAAACCCTATAGAAATATTACTTCTTTTGAGAGAAACTCACAGGAAGGGCTAAAAGACTCAAAGTAAGATCCTGAAGTACTTCAATAAGGTCTCCAAGTTACAACAAGTGAGTTTTAACTTGCCCACTAAAAACAGCATGGAAAGACTGTCAGGGCTACCTGGACATTTTAAGAGTCTCCAATATTCTTGCACTCAACCCTATTATCAGGCATTCGAATGAACCAAATGACTAATAGTATAAACAAATTTGCCTTAGTCTTAGATTGTAACTTTATATTACTTGTTTTGTATTTGATTATTTCAAAACAGCAGCAAAAACTTGCAATATTTACAAAAAAAGATTGCATATAAAGACCGTAGAGATACATGTCTAGTTTAATGTTTTAAAAGTGCCTCACTTTTTTTTTTTTTTTTTTTTTTTTTTTTTTGAGACGGAGTCTCGCTCTGTCGCCCAGACTGGAGTGCAGTGGCGCGATCTCGGCTCACTGCAAGCTCCGCCTCCCGGGTTCACGCCATTCTCCTGCCTCAGCCTCCGGAGTAGCTGGGACTACAGGCGCCCGCCACCACGCCCGGCTAATTTCTTTTTGTATTTTTAGTAGAGACGGGGTTTCACCGTGTTAGCCAGGATGGTCTCGATCTCCTGACCTCGTGATCCGCCCGCCTCGGCCTCCCAAAGTGCTGGGATTACAGGCTTGAGCCACCGCGCCCGGCCAAAAGTGCCTCACTTTTATAGTGGCATATGACAATTACAGTCATTTTATAAGGGCTGCTGAAATACAATCAGGAAGCTTATACACACTTGCAAAAGTAACTAAAGGCCAGTGGATGAAGGATTGAGCATTAGAGGTGCACTGCATGAAGACTTTCAATAATATTAGCTGAGAATTTACAGCATAAAAACTACTGTCATAAGCATTGTGGATTCCTAATACATAAGAGCTAATACTTAGGGAGGGAGGCATATATAAATACCAGAACTGCAGGGCAGATGTTAATAAGTATTTAAAGTACAAAGTCTAAAAAAATACGGTGAAAGGTAAATGTGATTTTAATTGGAGTGCCTACTTCCTTCTAATTTCTTAGAGATCTACTTGGAGAAGGCAGAATTTAAGTTGGGAGTTAAACAGGGATATTCTAGAAATAGAAACTGACAAAGCTTAGGAGATGATGGAGGTTGGGAGAGAGAAGCAAATGATTATTATTACACTGTTAGTCTAAGAGATGAGCCAGAGCTGACCCTCAGGCCTATCTCACAGTGGACCCATATCAAGTCTCCCTCTGTCTCACCAGGCATGTAGAAGTTCCCCACTCTTATTTCTGAAGTCTCTGCCTAGCCTTAACAGATTTCAACA